TTGGGGTTTTGGACACTTGTTTACGTCGAAGTATCAGGGGTGCATGAGAGTACTCACATCGAGCAAACAAGGTCTTTCTCGTAAGTGGGCAACCCTAAACCCTAAACCCTAAACTTATGACGGCGAAGCATTGGAAGTGTAGGGGAGCCATCCATTTAATTAAATTAGGAGAAAAATACAAAATGAATACGAACCAGATACAAACGAAAATAGGATTGGTACAAAAAATGCAAAATAAGTACGATATAGAAATAGGGGAAGAATACGAACCAGGTGGGAAATAATAAAGAAAAAAGCAGAACATGAAATGCCCGCGCCAAAAAGGGACATTTTCGTTACACGTTTTGTTCGTGTATGTTTTACACTATGTTGTCTTAAGTCTGGTGTGTTGGGGCCAAAACTGACTTATTGTTCGTCCTATTTGTGTCCTATTTTTCCTATTGTTTTCTCATTTATTTCCTACGGTTTTCGTATTCATTTCCTATTCTCCAATCGTATTCATTTCGTATTTAATTTGTATTATATCCCTAATTTAATAAACGGATAGATCTGGAACACTTCCATATGCTTCGCCGTCTTAATCCTAAACCCTAAACCCTAAACCCTAAACCCTAAACCCTAAACCCTAAACCCTAAACCCTAAACCCTAAACCCTGAACCCTAAACCCTAAACCCTGAACCGAAACAAGGTCTTTCTTGTAAGTGGGCAGAGCGGGGGCCTTCCGAGGTAAGGGTTTAGGGTTTAGGGTTTAGGGTTAAGGGTTTAGGGTTTAGGGTTTAGGGTTTAGGGTTTAGGGTTTGTTAAGCGGAAGATTTGAGGGAAGCGAAACGGGCAACATCGAAAGTCCCTGGTTTAGCGGGACGAGGGTCCAACCTTGAAGTCACTCAAGGAGCGCATTCGTGTTCTATAGTAGAAGACTGCCCCAAAGCCATGTTGGTTATAGCGAATGATGCCAGGTGCTAACTCCTGAAAACACATATTCCGTACTAGACCCCTGCACCCTAAACCCTGCACCCAGAGAACCCAATACCCCTTAATTAAGGAATATACTTTAAATCATGATATTAAGGCTTCTATCATTTAAGGTATATGTCTTAATTAAGGGGTATTGGGTTCTCTGGGCAAGTCGGCGCACCGACCCAGGGATGAACGCGTACCAGGGCAGCTCGGGCTATACCATCGCGATGGCCGGTGGAGCGGGACTGCTTGTCGGATATGGAGTCGCTTGGGCTTGGTCGGAAAACTTACTAATACGGCTGATGGTCAAAATCCTGCATGACCTTATATACCTAAACTATGGGAATTATGGTATTATACTATATTTGGGTCATGCAGAATTTTGTCCATCAACAATAGTACCTAGTCGTGGTCTAACATGCTGGAGCCTGCTTCCAAGTCTTCCGTCCCCTCTATTTGAGTTTGTGGCATCTGATGTATGAGTGTACACACACAAGACAGAGACGCACACACACACATATATATATATATAATATGTAGATATGTGTGTGTGCACATGTATACAAGCATGCATGCATACCCGCTTCTTCCCTTAGTTCACCATTCAGTTTTGTATAGGTTGATTCGGATGGCCGTGAGTTCGTATCTACAGACATGCTCGTCGTGCCACGAGTAACTTTTCAGTTTCGTCTGGTTATCGTCGCAGCTCCAAGAGGGCTGCTGTGGCCGGAACCTACTCAAAAGGAATAGCGGTGCACCGACGACGCTGTGAGCGATTTCTAAGGTCGGCAGTTACGGGATGCATCCGTACTACCACCACCATGGATATTCCTGGGGCGGGTACAATCGCCAGGATGCGGGCACGGGTGTATGCTTCGGCTCAGAAATATCAAAACCCCGAAACGCAACAGCGGCAATAGCGATGTCGCCTTAAGCTCCTCAATACTCGTGAGACAATAGGATAGGTACGACAGATACGACAGTCCCTAAGCCCACACTGTAGACCTTTGATGAATTAAACCGCCCCCCTTTAACAAGCGATTAAACCAAGGATCCCTACATGAACCCTAAGCGGCCTAAACCCTAAACCCGACCGGGGACCCTGCTGAACCCTACTTCTAACTAGCTCTCTGAGCAGGGACCTCATTGAGAGGGTCTATATCTTCAGGGTCCCCCCTAATTCCAACTCCCACTTTAGCGTTCAGGGCTCAGGGCGTAGAGTTGAGAAGGCTTTGGGGTTCAACGGTTCAGGGTTTAGGGTTTAGGACCCTAAACCCTAAACCCTAAACCTTCAGGGTTTAGGGTTTAGGACCTCAGGAGCCCCAGACAGCCATAGTGAGTGTTGTCTATCAGCTGCACCAGCCAGTTGCGGTAGCAACAGTGGTCGCAGTATGAATTAAAGAGGTCTTCTTGGTTTACCAAGTGGCTGTGATACCGATTAGTTGCAATGTCGCTGATATTCGTGGTCAAACTGGCGTTGATGAATAGTGAAATTTGCAACGATTCTTCGGCAACATCGCTGTATGTATATTTTTACATCGACAGGATAGGGTCCTTTTCAATCCTCTCATGACCTAAACCCCTGAACCTTAAACCCACAACTCCTAAACACCAAGCCCCAACCCTGAACCCAAAGCCCTACCACCCTAAACTTTAGAGCGACAGGATATCTACGGAATGCCATGTACATCCGGGACGTGGTCGGGCTCCTGCAGCTCTTGCGTGAGTCTTTATGGCGGCCCCTCAGCCCAGACAGCTGAAATTAAGGTCCCTTTGAGGGTTTAGGGTTTAGGGTTCCTGGGATCTACAAGCGTTTCTATATGGGTTTCTATAAGGGTTCGATGTGGGTAGTGATCTAAATTGGGGTCCCTTTTAGGGGCCTTTTTATAAGGGGGCCGTACTATCTTGGGGACCTAAAGTGGGGCCCTAATTTAGAGAACCACTCACATACTGCGACTTCCAGGGCAGATAGTGGGGCATCTTAGTAGCCAGGGTTGTAAATAGGGTATAGGGTACTCACTTTACAACCTATCCATGTATCTATCTGTCTAGCTACCTCTTTTGCTCCAGATGACTTTCCATCCACATACTCATCTATCCACGTGGTGGTGGTGGTGGTAGTGGTGGTGGTGGTGGTGGTGGCGGCGAGTGTGCCTTTAATTCGAAAAAGCATGGCTTGATAATCACAGCATGATGTCTTCCATCCACGCTTTTGCAGTCCGAGGTTCCTCCTGCAACCCTAAACCCTAATGTAGGAACCTGATTAAGAAACCCTGGGTCTTTATTAGGGTTCTCTACATGAGTCCTAATATTTGGGGGATATAGGGCCAGGGTTTCTTAATCAGGTTTCTACATTAAACCCTAAACCCAAAACCCGAGGTTCCTCCTGCAACGTGATGATGTCGCCAAAGATCGACGCCGCGAGGGACGACCTCATGAACACGGGCTTCGCGCCTTCGCAGGTGCCGGGTTGCCAGCTTTGGGTTTTTTTTTTGGGGGGGGGTTTCAGGGTTTTAGGGTTTAAGGGTTTTAGGGATTAAAGGTTTAGGGGTTTAGGGTTCAGGGTCTAGGGGTTTGCAAGTGCACCAACCAGGACCCAAGTGATGATGGCGACTTGCCCAAGTTGTAGTGTTTTCCCCCAACCAACTTCACAAAGGGTAACTTGCCCAAGTCGTAGCAGCACCAAGCGACCCAAGCAGATCAAGCGGCAGCATCCATTTAGCGGTTCCTGTAGTATTTCTACTTTTGAAACTACTGATACTGATACTCCTACTACTACTACTACTACCACTACTACTACTACTACTACTGCTACTGCTACTACTACTACTGCTACTGCTACTGCTACTACTGCTACTGCTGCTACAGCTACGGCTGCTAATACTGCTACTACTACTACTACTACTACTACTACTACAACTACTTTCCTACTTTACTACTTTATTCCTTTACTTCTTTACTACTTTACTACTTGACTACTTGACTACTTGACTACTTTACTAAGTTGCTACTTTGCTTTATTGCTGCTACTACTACTACTACTACTACTGCTACTACTGCTACTGCTGCTACTAGTGCTACAACTGCTACTACTGCTACTACTGCTACTGCTGCTACTACCGCTACTGCTACTACAGCTACGGCTGCTAATGCTGCTACTACTACTACTACTACTACTTTCCTACTTTAATACTTTATTCCTTTACTGCTTTACTACTTTACTACTTGACTACTTGACTACTTGCCGACTTTACTAAGTTGCTACTTTGCTTTATTGCTGCTACTACTACTACTACTACTACTGCTACTACTGCTACTGCTGCTACTAGTGCTACTACTGCTACTACTGCTACTACTGCTACTGCTGCTACTGCTGCTACTGCTGCTACTACTGCTACTGCTGCTAATACTACTACTACTACTACTACTACTACTACTGCTACTGCTACTGCTACTACTACTACAACTACTTTCCTACTTTACTACTTTATTCCTTTACTGCTTTGCTACTTTACTACTTGACTACTTGACTACTTTACTACTTTGCTACTTTGCTTTATTGCTGCTACTACTACTTCTACTACTATCACTACTACTACTACTACTACTACTACTATTGCTACTACTGCTACTGCTGCTACT